TTGAAGTAGCTGGGTGTTTGAAAAAATGCCTGCTATGGGTAGCGTGGCAATTTGCAGGAATATATTGTGCCAAAAAGGGTAATCTACTAAATAGTGTTAATGAATTATGCTATACTACTGAGTGTGATGCTCCATAAGTTCTCTCAACTGACACTCATGTTAGATTTTGTATTAAAATGTAACTATTCACATTACATTGCTGTACTACTAATAACACCATTGGAAATAGGTTAAAGCTCTAATCTACCAAAGCATGTGCTTAAGCATGTGCATAACTGCACACATGTGAGTGGTCCCAGTGACTTAAATGGGATTATGCATATGCTTACACACTTTGCTGGGTCAAGGCCTAAATGCATGGTCCTAACAGTAAAATGTGCCAATGGACAAAAGTATAGAAAGGCTCTATGCTCCTCCTTCTGTTGCAGTGAAGCTTGGGGAGTTTAGAAAGGTTGTGTCTTTTCCTAAAGTCAGTCACTAAGGACGATATTCCCCTGGGTGCAAAGGACTTGGCAAAACTGCCATATGATTTCAGAGAGGCTGCACATGAAGCCCACTGGGTGAGCAGTTATACAGAAGTATCTGCACACCCCTGCTCACCCCCCAAAAAGGTTTCTGAACTGGCCCTGCTAAAGCTGGCACAAGAAGGTCACTTGAGCATGTCAGGAATAGCATGTTTGCATATATATGGAGCCATTGGCCCCATCAACCAGCAAGGAGGGCTGTCTGCTATTCTACCCTATGGATAGCAGCCGTGAGGAAAGTGGCACAGCAGTCACATACATGCACGCATGCATGCACACACAAATACTCAGGCCTTATGAAGACAGAGTGGATGTCATCTATCTTTCTCATGGAGGAAAACTGATACAAGGCCCTCTAGGCCTGATTCTCCACTGCCTTGCACCCTGTAAAGTCATCTGCACTTGTGCTAGGTGCATATCAAATGCTACCATCATTGTAAATGAATGGAGGAGTCTGATTTGATTGTACTTTACACTCAGTCTGCACAGACATAACTAACCAAGGTGCAGTGCCATGGAGAATTAGACCCTCTAAGACCTACTCTATTAAAAATGTCTTTGTTTGAATACTGCTTAAACTTAGAGAGAGGGTCCATATAGGTGGGATTTAAATTGTGCAAAACCAAAATCATCCCTCGTTTTGCCAATCTTTACTCAATTATATCATTAGCATCAATGGGCATTGCATACACAGAATGATTGCTGGATGGGTCCACTGACTGAACAATAAATATCAGGGCCAGATTCCCCGTTACATTATGGCTCCTTTGTGATACTCCAGTGTTAAGGGGCCATAAGGCTTTTAGATCCGGCCTCTGGGAATTCCACCAACACAGGGGAAATCTCCAGGTGGTGTAGAGTCATTCCCCCTTTTGCCATCTCCAGAGCAGGGGCATGAGAGGTTATAGATGGGGAGGATCAGAGGAATAGAATGAGCATGTTTGATCTGGCTATTCCCAGCTGCTGAAATGGCCTCTTGGGATGATAGGCAATTGGGCATAAGTTAGAGCAACATCAGAGTTGCTCTTATTTATGCTGCGGGCCTGGCTGGCCCCGCCAGCCATTCTATCAATGAGTGAAGTGCAAAGATGATGGAAAGCCACAGTTGTGGGCTGCATTTTTGCATTGAGCTTAGCACAGCCAGGAAAGAGAATTAGGGCCTCCAAGTCAACATTTTGCAAAAATGGAAACAAGCAACTAAAGGGCTGTCTGTGCTGCCATTCCAGTTAAACTGAGCTTAAATATGATTGGAATCATGCTATAATATGTGGTGCATACAGCCTTCTGTATTAAGAATGTCACACTGCGGGTGCTTTCAGGTTGCATGTCACCTCCATGGTTTGTTCAGAGAGAACTAATATGAATGTGATTGAGAAAAATAAACAAAGCTAATACTGGTTTCAACAGAAAAACATGAGTGAGCGATTGAGGGTCTGTGGGGAAAAATAGAAACAGCCTCTCTGTTTTGATTGTACTTAACCTTGCAACCACACAATCAAGCTGTGACCTTTGGAGAGAGTCTGTCTGTTCCAATGAGGCGATCTAATCTCCATTCCAAGTGTTGGTTTGATGTTTTTACACCTATGAATGTATAGATGTTTCTGCAAACTTCCATGTCATTTAATTTATTAAACTTTAAATGCAAAACCACCCCCAAAACTAAAACTTTCCATTATTTTTTCTATGAAAATATTTGTATTTGCACTAGTGTCAGTGATGTCTGGAGGTCAGAACAACGGACTGCCTCTGCCACTGTCTTACAGCAAGTCTCACTGTAAAATGATAGGTTTCAGAGTGGTAGCTGTGTTAGTCTGCATCAGCAAAAAAACCAGACAAACGAGAAGTACTTGTGGCACCTTAGACTAACACATTTATTTGGGCATAAGCTTTCATGGGCTAAAACCCACTTCATCCGATGCATGCAGTGGAAAATACAGTAGGAAGAGATATATACACAGATAACATGAAAAAATGGGTGTTGCCATAACAACTGTAACGAGACCAATTAAGTAAGGTGGGCTAATATCAGCAGGAGAAAAAAACCTTTTGTAGTGATAATCAGGTTGGCCCATTTCAAACAGTTGACAAGAAGGTATGAGAAACAGTTGGGGGGAAACATTAGCATGGGGAAATAGTTTTTACTTTGTGTAATGACTCACCCACTCCCAGTCTTTATTCAAGCCTAATTTAATGGTGTCCAGTTTGCAAATTAACTCCAGTTCTGCAGTTTCTCGTTGGAGTCTTTTTTGAAGTTTTTTGTTGTTGGAGAATTGCAACTTTTAGGTCTGAAATGGAGTTACCAGGGAGGTTGAAGTGTTCTCTGACTGGTTTTTGAATGTTATAATTCTTGACATCTGATTTGTGTCCATTTATTCTTTTGCATAGAGATTGTCCGGTTTGGCCAATGTACATGGCAGAGGGGCTTTGCTGGCACATGGCATATATCACATTGGTAGATGTGCAGGTGAACAAGCCTCTGATAGTGTGGCTGATCTGGTTAGGTCCTATGATGGTGTCCCTTGAATAGATATGTGGACAGAGTTGGCACCGGTGTTTGTTGCAAGGATAGGGTTCTGGGTTAGTGTTTTTGTTGTCTGGTGTGTGGTTGCTGGTGAGTATTTGCTTCAGATTGGGGGGCTGGCTGTAAGCGAGGACTGGCCTGTCTCCCAAGATCTGTGAGAGAGGGATCGTCTGAGAGATTGGAGGAAATGCGGTTGTATCTTAAAGCTTGGCTGTAGACAATGGATCGTGTGATGTGGTCTGGATCAGACACAAATCAGATGTCAAACTATAACATTCAAAAACCAGTCAGAACACTGCAACCTCCCTGGTAACTCAATTTCAGACCTAAAAGTTGCAATTCTCCAACAACAAAAAATTTCAAAAACAGGCTCCAACAAGAAACTGCAGAACTGGAGTTAATTTGCAAACTGGACACCATTAAATTAGGCTTGAATAAAGACTGGGAGTGGGTGAGTCATTACACAAAGTAAAAACTATTTCCCCATGCTAATGTTTCCCCCCCAACTGTTTCTCATACCTTCTTGTCAACTGTTTGAAATGGGCCAACCTGATTATCACTACAAAAGGTTTTTTTTCTCCTGCTGATATTAGCCCACCTTACTTAATTGGTCTCGTTACAGTTGTTATGGCAACACCCATTTTTTCATGTTCTCTGTGTGTGTATATACATCTTCCTACTGTATTTTCCACTGCATGCATCTGATGAAGTGGGTTTTAGCCCACGAAAGCTTATGCCCAAATAAATGTGTTAGTCTCTAAGGTGCCACAAGTACTCCTCAGGTGTGGTGTTTTTTGTTGTTTGTTTGGTTTGTTTTTTTTTTTTTTTGGTAAAATGATGGTAACAATAATTCCCTACCTCACTTGGGTGTTGTCACTCTTACTTCGTGAATATTTGCAAAGTGCTTTGAGATCCTGGGTTGGAAGGTGATATTTAAGAGCAATGTATTATGAAGATTATTTTATATACTTGATGAGAAGTGACATTTATGGACCCCAAAGTCGTTTAAACTGATGACAGACTCAGAATGCCAAATTGCTCACTGAACCCTGAATAATACTGCTCTTATTGTAACTTTTAGGATGACTGTATTAAGTACTGCTGAATAATAAATGTGTGGCATGCATACTGGTATTTGTAAATATATTTAACTTTTTTTTCTGGCTTTTAGTCAATCTAGTCAGTGACAGAGTAGGTTGAGTAACAGTGCTCTAGCCAATGACCAATGGCTCAGCTTTGGTTTTTGAAGGGCGAAGTCCTGAAATTCATTATTTTGCACATAAGCCCTATTGAAAGCAGTTTTTGCCTGAGTAAGGCCTGGGTGAGAACTGCATAAACTTGGGCCAAAAGTGAAGTCTCACTTGGTTGCTACCTAACATGGGATGCTCTTTCAACCAACTCTTTTTTAAATAAGAATGAGTTGTGAACAGTTTTAATGTGTCTGTTTTAATAAGCAAGACTGAGAGTGTAAAATACAAGCTTCAGCGCATTCTTTAACAAAAAGGAAGTGATACATACTAAAGGCCTAATTCTGCCCTGTGAAGTCAGCAATAAATGGCTACATAATGTGCAAAACAGTGGAGTTTTGTATGTGCAGTGGGTGAAATGTAGTCCTGTGCACAGGATCAGTACAGGGCCTATGCACCACTCATTATGGCTTATATTCAGTTTAAGTGATACATTGCCTGTGTGCTGGCCCTCTCAGCAGGGCTGAATTTCACCCATTTTGAGTTTTACAGACAGCTAATGATACCGACTAAATGAATATCTACTCTTATCTGCATAAACATTGAAATGTGAGAGAGTGAAAAATGAAGACATAATTGGTATATTTCAGATATGAAAATAGTGGTTTCCTATAGCCAGAATCATTGCATTTTTAAGTGTAAAGTAATATCAGGTAGTTAGATCTCTTTTAAGTAGTTAATGTTAATATTGTGTATATTTGTTTCTAGATACTGTTAGAAGTTGTGTAGCAAAGCTGTTCTTCAGCTGCCCCCTGAAGGGTCATTACTGCCTATACAGTAAATCCAGTTTTACACTCATCAGCCGGCAGCCTCAGCTATGGATCCATATCATGTTTCTCTTTCAGCAGGTGTGTGCAATACATATAAGTAGTGGCACCTCAATAAACTGTACATGAAAAAAATGTTTTAACGGTAACCCATTTTGATATGTTTATCATCTCCATCAATGTTACTGTATGTGTGTATCCTTTGAATTTCCCTTTCTGATTTCTCAGAAGTGGACAGAGTTACTTATAAGCTCTTTATTCTCCAGTGCTTTGCAGTAGAGTGGCATAATGTATGACAGAGTATGTGATTTCTGTTAAATATAACAAATTTAAGATGCCCATATGAAATTAAAAAATCTGAAGTACAAACATTGGACCAAAACTGGTCATCCTTTTTCAGGCAAAACTCCCATTAAAGTCAAGACCCCATTCTGCTTCCGTAGAAATGAATAGGCAAACTTCAGCTGATTTCTGTGGAAGTGGAGTCTGGTCTTTAGACTTCAGTAGGCCTTGGTGGTGCTCAGCACCCCTTACTCAAAACTCCCAGAGAGCAAAATCCTGAGTAAGGTCATCAGGATTTGATCAGTGTTGTTCAACTATTGATTAAGATTCTTTTGATAGTTATATTAAATATATTTCCAAAGAAAGACCATTAATTGATCATGCTTATCTGGAATATATATATTGCGGTATATTGAATAATATAAAGGAAAAACAAATCTGCATTCCCAGTTCAAGATGAATCATGATGGTTTTTCTTGTGTTCATAATAAAAAAAAAATCAACTTCTCAAACTATATATAGTAGTTTAAAGATGCAGTATGCCCAATGTTATTGCAATCTTAGTAATTAGAGATGGAAAAGACCTATTAGATCATTGGGTCAATCTAGCCGCAAGTACAAGGCATAGTGACATAGAGGATACATCAGATATAAAACTAATGCTACCCTTGATCTTGGCTAAATGTTTACCATGTGAATATTCAAACAAATGTAGTACTGTAAATTATGTTCCTAATGGACATTTGGTTGATTTAACAAATCAATATACTCCTACATGTTATATGATGTCCTAGAAATAAGTACACACAAGATCAGAAAAATGCAAATGAGAAGTAAGAACCATTTTGATTCAACTCTTTCATTTCAAGTAGATATACCAGCAAGCAGATTACTGTACTTCCAGTGAGCTGAGCCCTCCCTGCCAGCTCCAGTCTAATTTCAGCACTGCCAGCAGCTGGTTCTGGAGCTGAGCACATTCATCTTGAACCTGACCCTGAAAAGTGATCTTTGCTGTGGCAGCCAGCAGGTCATTAGGGCCTAATGGGGTAAACCCACCACTGTCACAGCTGTGTAGTTTAGCAGGGTATGACAAAGTACAATACCACTAGGATTTGGAGCTGCTTCAGCCCCTAAAGGGGTAGAGCTGGATGCCACTGAGGAATTACCACCCTGCAGGACATAGACCACAGGTGGCTGAGGGAGGAGGCACAGAGCAAGGAACACAGATTTCTTCAGTTTTGCACAGCAGAGTACATGACTGTTCGCACATGCTTCCTTCAGCACATGGGTTCAATAGTAGGGTGGAAGCTATAGAGTGGGGATAGAGGATTTGTTATGTGCAGCTATTTCAAATCACAATCATATTCCTTCTGCCTCTGTTCCTGCTTTTCCACACCTAGAGGATGCTGGCGGGAGGGTGTGGATGGGTGGGTGTTCTGATTTGGTGGGGATGTGGGGAGGGGAGGGTGTGAGCCAGGTGATGCTGGTTGTTCGGTAGGAGGGGGAAGAATTCTTGGCTGGATTGCGGCTTAAGTGCTCACCCTGCAAAGATCTGAGAGCAACTAAGCCACTGAGCAAGAGGCAAGCTGTTATCTGCCCCAGCTAGACTATGTAGAGCCCAGGAGGAGAAAAGAAGAAATGTGATCTGCTGGTTTTTAAGGGTGTGGTCCCTTCCTGGAAGTAGGGAAGGGAAAGAGACACTAGCATTTGAGGGGCAGAGAGAATTCAGGGAAAGAGAGAAGGTAAAAGGGGAGAAGGAGGACAAAGAAATAAGAAAAGACAAAACAAGTTAAAAATAAAGAGAGGTAAACAAGAAGCTGAAAGATTGAATTTGAAAAGAGAATTTTTTTAAGGAAAAAGAAAAGGTGAAAGTGGCCGCAGGGAGAAATAACCTGCATGACAGAAAAATGAGAGCAAGGGAAACAGCTGATGGAAAAGATGTATTAAAATGCATGAGAATGAGCAGAGAAGGAAGAGCAGAAACAAGGGAGACGTATACTAGGAGAGTAAACAGTCTGTTTCTTTATGAACTTATGTATAGTCTGATGCCAAAAACATACCATCTTGCTGGATGTTAACAAAATGATTTCAGTCCTTCTCTCTTTCTCTCTGTTGTATATTTTGAATCAATTGTAGTGATGCTTTCATCTTTGATTCCACCTTTATTTCCTCCTGCTTAATGTTTTCCTCATATTTTTTCTTTTTAAAAATCTCTTTAACCCTTTTACCAAGATTACATTGCACTTTGGCGTGACCCTTTCAGTCTTTTATAGAGCTGGGACAATAAGCTTTGCAATATTTCCTATCTCAACAGATTTCCCATCCCTCTTCCCCCACCCCCACTGCTTCTGTCTGCATTCTGTTCCTCATCTCTCTCTCTCCTCTCCTCCTATTTTTTTTTTAAATACCTCCTCATCCCCCTTGGGAGCCTCACCTCATTTAGAACTCCTGGACCATGACTGCTCCAGTTACACTTTGGCTTTAATGTGTTTTTTCACATTTCTGTCTTGGGTAATTGCATTTGTTAAATTAAAAGTGCTGTTGCCAAGCTGACACCCTTAAATTTTGGCTCATCTTAACCATAGCAGCTCATATATTGATGCTGTTCCTTATATGTTTATTTTTTTAAAAAATCTGGAATATACCCCATCTATACTATGCTAGAAACTCACAAGACTACATTCTTCCATCTATGCACAGGAAGTCCCATGTGCAACCCACTATGTACCCAGAAGAGAATAGATCCCTGAATGTATAGGGCTCATCATGAGTCATCTTTCACACCCATTCTGGGGAGAGAGGGGCATAAAGCACTCCCCTCCGTGGGCATCTCCATCTGGTCTGTGTGCATGTGTGAGAGCAGCTGCTGCAGGGGAAGCTGCTCACCCTCCCATGCAGGCACACAGGTAGTGGGCAGGCAGGATTGCAACAATAAGTGGAGTCATAGAATCATAGAATATCAGGGTTGGAAGGGACCTCAGGAGGTCATCTAGTCCAACCCCCTGCTCAAAGCAGGACCAATCCCCAACTAAATCATCCCAGCCAGGGCTTTGTCAAGCCTGACCTTAAAAACTTCTAAGGAAGGAGATTCTACCACCTCCCTAGGTAATGCATTCCAGTGTTTCACCACCCTCTTAGTGAAGTTTTTCCTAATATCCAACCTAAACCTCCCCCACTGCAACTTGAGACCATTACTCCTTGTCTTGTCCTCTTCTACCACTGAGAATAGTCTAGAACCATCCTCTCTGGAACCACCTCTCAGGTAGTTGAAAGCAGCTATCAAATCTCCTCTCATTCTTCTCTTCTGCAGACTAAACAATCCCAGTTCCCTCAGCCTCTCCTCATAAGTCATGTGTTCTAGACCCCTAATTATTTTTGTTGCCCTTCGCTGGACTCTCTCCAATTTATCCACATCCTTCTTGTAATGTGGGGCCAAAACTGGACACAGTACTCCAGATGAGGCCTCACCAATGTCGAATAGAGGGGAACGATCACGTCCCTCGATCTGCTCGCTATGCCCCTACTTATACATCCCAAAATGCCATTGGCCTTCTTGGCAACAAGGGCACACTGTTGACTCATATCCAGCTTCTCGTCCACTGTCACCCCTAGGTCCTTTTCTGCTGAACTGCTGCCTAGCCATTCGGTCCCTAGTCTGTAGCTGTGCATTGCGTTCTTCCGTCCTAAGTGCAGGACCCTGCACTTATCCTTATTGAACCTCATCAGATTTCTTTTGGCCCAATCCTCCAATTTGTCTAGGTCCCTCTGTATCCTATCCCTGCCCTCCAGCGTATCAACCACTCCTCCCAGTTTAGTATCATCCACAAATTTGCTGAGAGTGCAATCCACACCATCCTCCAGATCATTTATGAAGATATTGAACAAAACTGGCCCCAGGACCGACCCCTGGGGCACTCCACTTGACACTGGCCACCAACTAGACATGGAGCCATTGATCACTACCCGTTAAGCCCGACAATCTAGCCAACTTTCTACCCACCCTATAGTGCATTCATCCAGCCCATACTTCTTTAACTTGCTGACAAGAATACTGTGGGAGACCGTATCAAAAGCTTTGCTAAAGTCAAGAAACAATACATCCACTGCTTTCCCTTCATCCACAGAACCAGTAATCTCATCATAGAAGGTGATTAGATTAGTCAGGCATGACCTTCCCTTGGTGAATCCATGCTGACTGTTCCTGATCACTTTCCTCTCATGTAAGTGCTTCAGGATTGATTCCTTGAGGACCTGCTGCATGATTTTTCCGGGGACTGAGGTGAGGCTGACTGGCCTGTAGTTCCCAGGATCCTCCTTCTTCCCTTTTTTAAAGATTGGCACTACATTAGCCTTTTTCCAGTCATCTGGGACTTCCCCCATTCGCCACGAGTTTTCAAATATAATGGCCAATGGCTCTGCAATCACAGCCGCCAATTCCTTTAGCATTCTCGGATGCAACTTGTCCGGCCCCATGGATTTGTGCACGTCCAGCTTTTCTAAATAGTCCCTAACCACCTCTTTCTCCACAGAGGGCTGGCCATCTACTCCCCATGTTGTGATGCCCAGCGCAGCAGTCTGGGAGCTGTCCTTGTTAGTGAAGACAGAGGCAAAAAAAGCATTGAGCACATTAGCTTTTTCCACATCCTCTGTCACTAGGTTGCCTCCCTCATTCAGTAAGAGGCCTGAACTTTCCTTAGCTTTCTTCTTGTTGCCAACATACCTGAAGAAACCCTTCTTGTTACTCTTGACATCTCTTGCTAGCTGCAGCTCCAGGTGCGATTTGGCCCTCCTGATTTCATTCCTACATGCCCAAGTAATATTTTTATACTCTTCCCTGGTCATATGTCCAACCTTCCACTCTTGTGAGCTTCTTTTTTATGTTTAAGATCCGCTAGGATTTCACCGTTAAGCCAAGCTGGTCGCCTGCCATATTCACTATTCTTTCGACTCATCGGGATGGTTTGTCCCTGTAACCTCAACAGGGATTCCTTGAAATACAGCCAGCTCTCCTGGACTCCTTTCCCCTTCATGTTAGTCCCCCAGAGGATCCTACCCATCCATTCCCTGAGGGAGTCAAAGTCTGCTTTCCTGAAGTCCAGGGTCTGTATCCTGCTGCTTACCTGTCTTCCCTGTGTCAGGATCCTGAACTCAACCAACTCATGGTCGCTGCCTCCCAGATTCCCGTCCACTTTTGCTTCCCCCACTAATTCTTCCCTGTTTGTGAGCAGCAGGTCAAGAAAAGCTCCCCCCCAGTTGGCTCCTCTAGCACTTGCACCAGGAAATTGTCCCCTATGCTTTCCAAAAACTTCCTGGATTGTCTATGCACCGCTGTATTGCTCTCCCAGCAGATATCAGGAAGATTAAAGTCACCCATGAGAACCAGGGCGTGCAATCTAGTAGCTTCTGTTGCCGGAAGAAAGCCTCATCCCCCAGAGTCTTGGCTCTGCCTCTCCAAGGGACTGGCTGGCAGAGCTGAGCCAGGCTAGAAGGGGATGTAAACTCTGCTAGGACCAGAATATTTTCCCTTTTGGAGCAAGGGGGCAGCAGGGACTGAACAGTGACTCCGCATTGGAGCGGGAGGTGTAATTCCCAGTATGAGGAGACATACCTGTGATTGAGCTAGTGTGCTAAAAAGGAGTGTAGCTGTGGCAGCACGAACAGAAGGATGGGCTAGCTGCCCTGAGCATAAACCCATGATCTTGGACAGGATCATACTTGGGGTGGCTAGTCCCTTCTGCTGCTTGCACTACCTGGGCTATGTTTTATTTTTAGCATGCCAGTGCAATTAGAACAAGTATGTCTCCTTGAGATGAAAATGACACCTTTCAGCTCTAGTGTAAACAAACTTAAGAGTCTCATTCTGTCCCTGGTGTGCTCCTGGGGCAGTGAAATTCTACGTTGCCCCTTCCTGTGGGCTTGTGGTAACACCATGATCTAGTCCTTATTTCCCTAGGAATTTGTTTTTTTACCATCTTTTATGTCTATGGCTTTGTTTCTATTCTGAATTACTGGTTGATATAGGGGTCCTTGCATCTTTATTCTTCTATTGCTTTTGAAATAATTGTAGTAAAAATTACTGCTGAACATCTAGAGCCCGATTCTGGTGCCAGTGAGTCCACAGCAATACTCCCATGGGCTTCAGATGTGCAGGATTAAGTCAGTAACATTTGGTTTTGTGTCCTTGCAAATACACTGTACACATAGCAGTGTGTATGCCCTTCTGTGAAAAAATGATGGTTCTTATTATGTTGTATTCACTATTCAACCCCATTGTGCAGTAACATGAAGTTTGATGTATCGTAATTTACACTTTTTTCATTTGTTTGAAACTCTAAAAGCTTTCACATACTGTGTCTATTTAACCATTTTTCAATTAAATACCATGCTACATTTATCCCTGGTGTAACTCCTCTGACGGCAGTGGAATTGCACAAGGCATGAATTTGGTAGAAAGTATATTTATAATGTGTTAGCATTTACCAAATGTAGTTAAATGACTTTTTTATAGTTATTTTGTCCCAGATCCAAGGAATTCCATGAGTTACCTTATTTTTGTGAATAAATGCAATGTTTTGCCATTTATTATCCTCTTTTTGTTGAGTGCAAAGGAATAATTTTCCTCTCATATCTCCATAACAGATCCTGACTTCTGTCTTCTGTTCTCCCTATAATTGTGAAAGTCTTGGTTAATAATTGTAATATGCTTTGAAATCCTTGGCTGAAAGTTGTGGAACTGCAAATTATTATTATACGTATTTATTATTTCAAGATGGGTGGATTTTATCTTCATAGAAGGAGCAGAATATTTGACTTCAGAGCTGTTTTGTAGATTTGAGAGGAGACTGTTTTTCCAATTAAATGATTATTAAGAACAGAAATGAAGGTAGAATAATGGATGGTCTTGGAGGAAGAAAGCATGGTATTTAAGTAGTACTGAAATTTTCTGAAAATGCAAGACCGTAATGTCCAGCTGAAGAGGAACAAATCTAGGTCAATTTTTCAAGTTTGATTTATTTATTAAGCTTTTTCCTACAGCAAATTTTGCATCAGATGATATAGGTCAACTCTACAGCCTCTGGCTTAATTGGTCTCTTCAGGCTCGAAACTGTATAATAGGCAGTGTTAGTAGTGCCCCCTATTTTTAAGGTTGTCTGATATTTCACATTATAAGACCCTGTTTTCAGTTGCTTGTAACTTTGCCAAACTTTAACTGTTTGGGTTGAAATTTTCCATGCAAAGGTGTCCCATAAGCAGAAATTGTTCTGGAAAATGTAAGCTAAAATGGTTTAGCCATGTCTAAGAATGTGTCTAGGAGAGTATATGTTTTGCCCATATTAAAAAAAAAAAATCAGGGTGACGCTTTTTTTGAATCCCTCTGGTGCCCCTATACTAGACTAGAAATTTGGCAAGGGGTGCCTTTATGTCAGGGACATGCCTTTTGCCACTCCTGTGAAAATATGCCTGAATTTGGCCAAGTTCTAAATCTCTGAAAAATCACAGTTCACGCATGCCCAGTAGAAATATCTTAGATTTTTAGCAGCTAAATTGCCTGAAACTTGCATCCATATTGGGCATGCGTCAGCCCAGAGTTGAGCAGGCTTTCCCTGCAATTGCATCTCTAGCCTGCTGTGGGTCAGGCTGGGATCAAGCACCAGAACTCAGAGCAGAGAGACTTTTGTCTTTTGGGTGCTCAGTGACACCCCGCCTCCTACCTGCTGGTCCCAGGCAGCATGGAGGAGCAAGCTACGTGATTCAAGTGCTGAAGAGACATGAGCCAGACTTGGGGGTTTGTGTGCAGGGGGATTACATTAGAACAAGGAGTCTGTGGAAGGGAAAGTGCAGGACTTGGAGGCTGCTGGGTTTGGGAGGGAAATTGAAACTGGGAGTTGGGGAGGGAGACTTGGACTCGGTGGGCAAGAAGACAGGGATTGGGAGATGGGGCAGACAGAGACTGGCTGGAAAAGGAGATTGAAACTAGCAGGCAAGGACACTGGGCTGGGGAACTAGGGAGGAAATGGGGGGATGGGGTGGGGGGGACTGAGATTGGATGAGGAGATGGGGGAGACTGGGACTGGCGGGGCAAGGAGACTGGGACAATGAGCCCTGGCAGGGAAACTGGGACTGCAAGCCAGTGGGGACAGAGAATGCAGGTGGAGGGAGGGGTAACTGGAAGCCAGGGGGAGGAAGAGAGACCAATAAGACTAGGAGCCTGGAAGGAGGGAATTGGGACTGGGTGACAAGAAGGCTGAAGACAAGGAGTTGGGAGTGGAGGCGGAGAAATGGGCATGACGGGGCTGTGAGATTGGGATGGGGAGTCTGGAGGGGTAAGACTAGGTCTTGCTGAGAAAGGAGACTGGGATAAGAAGTTAATTTTCTCTCTGCACTGGGCTTTCAGTGTATGCATCCCAGGCCCTTTGCCAAAAGAGACATAAGACTAGTATATAATGAGTGCTAATACTGCTACTAGTAGCTAGTTCACGTATCACTTTTCAACATTAGATCTCCTAGCACTTTACAGAGTTGGTCAGCATCATTAACACCGCTTTACTGAGGCACACAGAGGCGAAGTGACTTGCCCATGGGTCACTTATAGGCTAGTAATAGAGCCAGCAATAGAACCCAGGTCTTCTGAGTCCAGTGCTCTCCCCACTACCAGCACTGCTATATACTAGTGTTTTACACGTGCGCACACAGGGTAGTTGTGGTATGTTATATGTATATAGTCGTACTAGCTTATGTGTAAAATGTAATGAATCAAGTACCTGTGAAATCCAGGTATTGTGCACAGAAATAGTCTCAGAACTAATGGCGTATACAGGAATTATTTAGTTTCACAGATTTATACACTTTGCATTGATTCGTATCCATCTTCACTGCACTGAATTGTTTTTAAATGTCAGTGTCAGATATTCTGCTCTTGATATAAGATGTAACAAGGACAGCAATTACTTTGTGTAGTTGTAGCATTCTGAAATAACAATACGATTTTAAGACTCAGATTGAAATTTTCTTTTCAAATATTTTCTCCAGAACTTGTTTCCAGAACCCTTGTCCATACAAAGTGACACTGTGCAAGTCCTTGAAACCCTGTGGGAGAAGACACAGCTGAAGGGAACACATGGTTTTGAAACTGCGATGATTCAATCTACATTTCCACACCAGAAGGTAAACATTTATTCCTTGGGGTGGGGTTGAGGGGGAGGAAGTGATTTTTATACCAACCTTTAGAACCGGTCTACATGGATCTTTGCAATAGATGTGATGGCTCCATCCTGTGTTTAACTACTGGAAAGCAAACCTTTTACACACATGCACATGTGTGCACACATAATATCAGCATCATAAATATCTTAGCAATTAAACATGGGGCCCAATCCTGCTTCCAAAGAAGTCGATGGAATTTTTGAGGCTGACTTAAGTCAAAGCAGGATCAAGTCCAGGTGGCATCTGCTCCTTATTTCCAGCTACTGAATCACATTAAAATAAACTAATTTTTTATATTATTTTTCCATGTGAGCAATTGCTGTCTTGCCAAAAATATGCTAAGCATTTGCACTTGGGAGAGGAGGTGGCCAATGACACTGAGAACAGGATGGGAAGTGGGTCTGTGGACAACTGGTGGGATTTTCAAGAATTCCTTAGGAACAGAAGTCCCATTCACTTTCCATCTCTCTATTAAGAGGTGATGTGAATTAGGAAAATGTTTGAGAACTACTGCTTTTATCATTGGTAAATTTACAACCTGTTTCCACCCTCTTTTGCTCTGTGTATGTTTGTGTGTTGAAAGGAAACTGCTTTATACACTGAGTAATTTTTATGTCACTAAATTTCTTTTGCCTTCAGTGCTGTGTAGCTCTGGTTTCTTCTAGGTATTTTCTTCACAGATTACCTTGCCAAGTCCTCTTCAGCCAGTTTATTCATATGGCAGTCTATGGCTTGTTCATGATGGAGGGGCCTCTTACATAAACCACACCCAGCTTGTAAGGGCTTTGACCAGTGCTCAGCAGGAATTTTATTTCTGAGTTCTGTGGTGGATCCATAAATGTCATTTTGTATTTTACTTTGAAATGTCTCCAGGTTTCCCTAAGCCCTCATACATGCTTCATGGGAGTTGCTAGTAACGTGAATGAAAACAGGTGAGGGTACATGTAGGTATTTTTTCCTATTTACATACATAATTTTAAAAGCTAAAGTCTGAATAGCTGCCATGATGGACTGGTTAGCTGCCCTGTGGAAATTCACACAATTCTGCACAATGCCTTTGGTGCTATGAAAATGATGATTTTTACACACTCCATTCTTACCGTCTGTCAGTTTAAAAGCTATTTGCTGTTTCAGGAATTGTAGGGGAAACTGTTTCAAAGCTATTAATCAGATGTCATGCAAAAGACCAGTAGAGGATTATAAAACAGACGTATTTGTGTGAAGTACGGAAATATTCTAGAACATGTACAATTATTTTTTTGTTTACATCTCAGCTAAAATTTGATGAGCTAAATTGTCAGATGTGGTTTTAAAATTTCTTTCTCAGGCTGAAACTAAGTATGGAAAACGTCTGCCTCAAAGTATTATTTTTACTAAAGTGATGACGGTTGAAAATAGGAGTTGTTAATGGAAACATCTGAAACATAAGGTGATCGTGTTGCATGCCATATTCAGATGCAACATATACCAGTACGTGCATATCATGCACATACAGATTCTTTATATTCAAAATTAAATTAAACTAGATCCAAGCTTTTTCTTCCAAAATCATAAAGCTGTTCTTTCTTTAACTTAGAATAAAGCTTGTAATAGCTCATTTGCCAAGAATGGAATAACCGGCACAGTACTATGAACTAGGAGATCTGACAACTGAAGTGATGTGAATGTACTTCTGACTGCATATTCAGGAACAAATTGAACCCCAGCATGCAATCTGAAGAACTGGTCTGTGTTCTGGGCAGATTCATAGTCTAGTGGCGTTTACAGTAGAACCACTTCATGGCCAGCTGCAGTAGCCCTCAGGGCTGGTGTATCCCCTTTCCATATGGGGACTGGCCCCTAGCTCCATATTGTCCCCTTCCCCAAATCCCTGTCCACACTTATATACAGTGAGCCCACGATGCTCAGAGTGTCACACCAAGGTCAAAGGCAGCCGACCTAGTAGTCCAAGCCAGAGTTTGCAGTCACGAGACAAGATATTGGGAGATCAGAACCAAGAGACAAACTGGAGATCAGAACCATGAGTCAGGAACCAAAGTCAGGCCAGGTCAGGATACCAGGGGTAAGAAGCAGGAAACACGTTGGAGGTATGGAACAGCAAGGCAAATGCCAAGTGTCAAGCTGGGGTGGGATACCAGGAAATCCAGGAGCCAGAGCTGAAGCCAGAGCCCAGTTGTTTAGACAGTTTCCTGTTCCTGCTGCTGGCTTAAATAGGGCCAGTGGGCCAATGAGCCACACTGGGGCTTTACCAATCACATCCACAAACTGTTAGTCTGCAGAGTATTTGTTGCATAATTCTATTACTTTTAGCCCTTTGGGGGTTATTTCATCATTCCTTTTTTGTAAGAGTACGTTCTTGGGTAACAGTGTTCCCAAACTAATGGGACAATACATCAAGAAACTGTAAAATGAAAATTAAAAAAATTAAACCAACTAGAAAATGGAACTTTGGAAACTCATCAAGATGTAGAATTACACACTGTTAGGATGCTGGATAACAATCAAGTAGATGAAACACATTAAAGACTTTCTTGAGATTTTAAAACTGAGTCTCATGCTATGCAGCTGTTGGCTGGTTTCACGTTCTTTGTTTTTGGTTTGCTTACTAATATAGGGCCTGCTATTGTTCCTATCAAAACTGATTTCATTGCCAAAATTCCCACTGACTTTTCTGAGAGCAGGATCTGGACCTATTGTTTAGTAGATTTCTTTTTATTGCTTGTGAAATTCAGAGACAAAGACTAGCTAGAGTCTGGTGTAATACCATTGGCCCAATGCAGTTTTTTCAATGTCTCTCAAACATGACCAGAAGTGGCTATAAGAAGTGCAAGTGTGTGACTATACACACACACACACACACACTCTCTCTCTCTCTCTCTCTCTCTCTCTCCTGAAAGCTTTTGCTTTTTCAGAAGTTTGCTTCAGTTGGAAAATTTGCCTTATACTGTGTATAGGTCCAACTGTGCAAGACACAACCTACTCTCAACCCCCAGTGACTATAGTGGAAGCTGAGAATGCACCTTGTGCAGAAGGACTCCATAACTTTTCTTAAAAGCAATTGTGGGTTAGAGCTCTTAACTAACTAAACTCTTAGGCACTTGGGTGTACCAAGGGACAGGATAAAGTGCTTAGTCATGTAAACTTTCTAGCACAGTCTACCTTTGAATATTCTGGTAACAGATCAGCATATTAGGCCAGATTTTCAGATGGTGTAAATGAATGGTGGTCTGGCGGTTTATACCAGTTGGGGATCTGGCCCATCCAATTTCTGCATGTAGAAAGACACTTAAAAGAAATACTAATGTGAAAAAGTAGATTTAAAAACAAAATACCCTTCTTTCCCCCCACCACATACAGACGCCCTTGCGGTTTTATTTCATCAAAGATTTCAGAAAAGTGTCCTTACCTTTTTTCTTTTCTGTTTATGGGTCTATCGAAATGTAATAAAACATGGCAATACCAGCTCCATACTGTACATTCCATCACAAACAGACACATGTTCTACATCAGCTTAGGAAATTCAGAAACTCTGGGTTTCTGAAAATGGTTAAAGAAACCACTCTCTCTTCCTGGGAGAAAGCAGGCTGAACTGTCCTCTCAAAATGCTACCGGAATTTGTTAAATATTTTTGCAAGTAATCAGAAGTAATGGCAAGTTACTGAGGGACAGGATGAAGGTCTTATCAACCTACCTACTGAAGTCTGGAGACATGGCAATCTCTGCAGAATCATTCAGAATATATGTCTAGCTATGGAAGAGAGATTAGGAGAGTAGCTGTGTTTAATAAGGGTTTGCTTTATAGGAACAGTTGGGAATGCAGTCAACAGACATTAATGCTCTAAGTATCTGTTTTCCTATGTCTGCATGCATTGCACTCTTTCATTGTGATACAAGAATGCCAAAGAGATCCAGTTCTTCTCTTTATTGGCAAACTAATCCTTTGTGATTAGTTAACTGATTGCAGTGAACAATTTTAGGTTTTTGATAACCTGCTCCTTACACACTAAAATAAAGTTTGGAAAAATAATTATTTAGCAGTAGTGTTGTCTGTTGGATAAAGCATAGGATGGGGAGCCACAAGACCTGGGTTTTTCTAATCTTGGCTCTGAGAGTGGCTTATTTATGTGACCTGGGGCAAGTGACTGAAATACTCTGTGCCTCAGTTTCCCCATCCGCAAAAAGGGTATTAGAGCACTTCACAAACATCAAGCCTTGAGATCTTTGCATAGTGCTAGGTATTATTCTGTTTCACAAATAATCACAGATGATATCACCTGCAGAAAAGTGAGCAATTCTCTATAAATAACAATACCCACCAATTCATAGGAAGAGCAAATATCTTGCATTGTGTTCTAGAGGTGGATGAGTGATCCATTTGCCTTTTATTCACAATCTACATCTTCAAGAACAGCCAGTTAGCCTACTCTCTTCCCTGGGCTCTTCAGGGGTGCCCAGCTGGCTTGCTCACTTGTTTGGTTTGGCAGCAGGTTGATAACATCATTTGCCCACTAAAACCAGGAAAGCATCATCTTGGTTGAGCAACTTGCTGGAAGCAATTCAGAAGGCCTTTAAATTCCTGTTGAAATGGTTAATGTTACTGGTATTTTATTGTGATATTAATGAAGTCTTATGGAGCCTGAAGCCTAGGTATGGGTGTTTATTATTAAATCTAAATAGAATGAAATAAATAAATGTCATTGTTACTGATAACAATGTATTAATTTATACTGTTTTGTTATTATGTGTTTGAATTACTTTTGTCTTGTGAGATTTACGGTTATTGAAATTAACATTTTAAAATAATCAGATTAACAGAATACCTTTGACAAGGCCTAAATAGCAGTTATGCATGTAGATTATCTAATATCAAGATATTAGGAATGAAGGAGATGCTCAGATTTCAGTAACTGTTTGTTTCTCATTCTTAAATGTACACTTATCTTTAGTAAGTTTCCTGTTTACAATGTCACTGAAAAATGAAAAACGTGAAGAATTCGAAAAAATATTAATAGCTAGGAATATTCCTCTTCTAGTAGTGAAGGCATTACTCCAGGTTAATGCTGGTATACTTGAAAGCAGAATATTGACTCTAATAGAATTGCTTCAGATTTGCATCATGGTGATTGACTGCAGATTTTGAGCCAATATGTGCAGCCAACTCACTATCACAAATTCCTAGCATTACACAAAGAATCTTATGTAGCAATGTACTGTGTGATCATGCCAAAAAAAATATTTATACAACACAGTTTAAATTTTGCCAGAAATAAAGTATTTCCAGATGTATACCCTCATAGATTTTCGGTCAGTTGCTTCAGAGTTCTTTATCAGAAAACATAGGCTACATTATAAAGAACAGAACCAGTTTTATACTCAGTCCAAAATCCATTGGGTTGACTCATGCCATCATTTGTCAAGAGTGACGGAGCAGCTATTTTGTGAACCTTACATGGATTCCTTCAGATTTCTTTGAGTAGTTTTTGAAAGAAAATAATTAACATTTTTAAGCAATTGTCATTTCCATTTATTCCATTTCTTCACTTCATAAATCACTTTATCCATCAAGAAATAATGCCCCATTTTCACAGCTGAGTAGTCACCTTACACCTTCCAGATGATGCAGGTGAGGGACAAGGAAATCTCTTGCCCCAAAAGTTTGACTACCTCCCACCTCACAAGATGGCATATTTCAAGCAACTGCTGATTGCCACACAGACTTTTCTTGAGCCTTTTCCCCATCCCCTGGCACCATAGCCAACGCACCCTAGCCACCCAAGAGGTGATTTTAGCAGCATAGAGAAGGCACCTGTTCTCTGGATTTTTTTTTTTCCTTTCAACCCTGATACTATCAACTCATCTCTCCACAATGTGTCATTCATGGAAGACCCTGGGGACACATTGGAGGCAGCATCACCACCCTTGTGCCCAGCTTTCCAGTGATAGTCTAATGACAGAGAATCCACACCACACCAGGGCAGAGAGGACAACACATCTCTGGGCACTTCACTGCCCATTATTTTGCTCAGGTCCCCTTCTTGGAAGCTATTCCTTCACTGATACAAGGGACCAAAAGCCAAGGAAACTTCCAGAAGCTAGCTGGGCACATCCTGCTTACTCTGTTACCTCAGGTCATTGTGCCTGAGTCTCCCTCTGAAAAACCTGCGGTGGTTCCTGCCTAAGTAGCTACCAGTTATCCTGCCATAGACAAGTCAGCTGAACAAGTATGGTCAGTGTAGAGAAAGCTCTTCAATTTCAGAGCAAAGCAGCCAGCTGAGTGCCATGAATGGAGAGGGTTCCCCTGTAGGAGGAGAGTTAGTCCCACTGGTATGGGGAAGGGCAGTCAGTGAGCAAAGGAGTCAAGTTTTACTTGCCATTTTCAGTGAATCAGTGCTCAAGTGCCAGGAAAGAAAGCACCCTAGACACGGATAGCCTGGTTACACCAAACATGAGGTATGCTTGAGTACAGTCCCCAAAGATTCAGCTTTTCAATCCTTAGTTCTTGGTGTGCTGGGAAACACTTATCTTCCAGCTCCTTTCAGACAGAAGAATCTTTTTGCCCTGTTTCTGCTGATGGAAATTAAATGTTTATAATTAGAAGGTTTTTCTGATGTGCTTCTTTGACTTCCATCTCTCCTTGGGACAATAAATGTGTTTTTGCAGATGTCCCTGTATCTGGTATTTGTGCATGTGTCTGTTTCAAACTCAGCAGTTGGTTGAGATGAGGTCTTTTATGGAGGAAGAGGTATTCAAACATTTCTATCCCCATCTTAGAAGTACAGGAGAGTCCCTAGTTGTGAAAACAATGGGCCAAATTTCCCCCTGCAATAAAGCCCCTTTCCTCTGTCTGCCAGCACAAAGAACCTTTAGAGTCAGGGACTCTAGCCAGCTGGGGATTCCTCCGACTGGAGGAGTCCCTGAATGGCATAGATCTGTTGTAGCTGGCTCCTCTTTTCCCCTTAGCTCTAGAGGCATGGCCAGGAGATAAGGCAAGGCTAGAACGCTGCTGTGGTCCAGCAATCCACAGCTGGGATAGTGACTCCTTTAAGGTTTGCTAGGAAAACAGTTTGTATGAGATTCATTTAACCTGTTACTGCAGTTTTGGAACTAAACCTCATAATATCAGTGCTGCTCATCAGAGGTTTGAGTTCTGGCAAACAAAACCCTCTAGTCCGTCTTTTAAAAAAAGTTGGCCCCAACCTACCATTCAGTGATTAAGGCTGTGTTGTGGCCTCATATCCATTTAAAAGGGAGGAAATTCCCAGCGGTGTAGTCACTAGAGACCATTGAAGCCTAATGGGTCAAAAAAAAAAAAAAAGGAAGCCGTAGAGAGAAGCTGAAAATAGTAAAGAAGTTGCAGCTGGAGGGAGTGGCCAGAGCAAAAGCTTGCAGGTGGGAGTGGCCAGAGCACAGCTCTGGAAGAGTATCAGAAACTCCCCAAACCCTACCTTCTGAAGAGTTGCAACTTCAGCTGCTTCTGTTAAGAGAAAAGAAAACACCCTGTTTTTAATAGATCCACCCAGATGGGGTGTTTGCTGCCACAAAACATGAGAGAAGGGACTCTACTAGACCTTAACCCCCCCAAAGCTCAATGCTCACCAGATGCTATTTATAAACTCCCAGCACTCACCCATATGATTTCATTTTACAAGTAATAAATTGTGGGGCAATCGGATCATTCATACTGTGAATTTTTTATTACTGCCCTAGGATCTGGACCATGTACAGATGCATCTGGAAGAAGTGAGGTTCTTTGATTTATTTGGATACAGTGAGGAAGCAGGAACGTGGCAGTGTTTCATGTGCAATAATCCTGAAAAGGCAACAGGTAAGGAATCTTCATTCACTACTTCCATGCAACACGTAGCAGGGGTCTGGTTCTGGCAGACTGCCTTACCTGGCTGGATGATGCAGGGTAGACTTCAAGTCTGCAAAAGCAACATGATTCTGACACCTTATGTAGTAGTAACAACAGAGGAGAAGATCTAGCCATGGCATTGTTGAGCTTTCCCACATGGGGACACTCAGGAAAGTTCAGTCAGATCCTTGGATGATGAAGTTAGTTACCTAAAGACCACCTTACTCCTGAATGAAACCATAGGGGGTGGGCATAACATAATTTATGTGCATCGACTTCACACTTTTGGTTGATTCACCTTAACTTTTCTGGGTGTCCCTGTGTAGACATGGCCTATGACAGGGAGGCTGTTAGGAGGGGAAATACTGCAGCAAACTCTGAAGAAAAGGGCAGACAAATTCTCCCTATAACTGGTGCTCATCAGCAAAGTTCTTCCCTTCCCTTATCTCTCTTCCTAATATTTCTGAAGAGACACAAGATTAAATTCAAACCTTATTAGCTGTGTGTTGGAAGTGGTGGTGTAAACCCAGAGTGAATGTGGACATGTATACTAACCTGACCAAAGCCCTGCAGTCACCCTGTGCAGCAGGAGTAATCTGCAGACATGGAGTGGACATGTGGCCTGGACTTTTACATTCATGTTCCCCAGGTTCCAGCTGAGAATGTCCTTGCTGCAGGTGTTTAGGGAGCCTAGAATGGATGCAACAATTTCCCTTCAATGTACATCTTTGAGTACACATCCCTGGAAGAGGTAGCTTAAATTTGACTCTGAATTATTAGTTTTAATGTGATCAAATTACAGGCACACTTTTTCTGGGAACAGGCTGTTTAACAATTCAGTGATGAAAATGTTTGTACAGGTAAAAAAATAGGTGTGTCAAATTACTTACTATATTTGGTATCATTGTAAGTAGAGCTGGGAGCACAGCCTGTTACTGAGGTTGCCTGATATTTCCCATTATAACACCATTTTGCAATCATTGTGAACATCTGCCCAAATTTGGCCAAGTTATAAGCCTTTGAAAAATCAGTTAACATATGCTCAGTAGAGACTTCTTCAATTGTAGCAGGTAAAATTTCCAAACCTTCTCACCTCACTGAGCAAGTTTGAGCCTCACACAGATCTTAGGGCTGACCTAACTGTATGCGCCATCACCACAAAGTGACAGAGCCTGCTCCATTGACTGCTGCTATATTGACCAGGACTGAGACAGGTTGGAGGGGAATAGGTAGAAGGGGTCAAGTTTGAGCAGAGAGTCTGTGCCTACTACAGCAGACCCTAGAATAGAACCCAAGAGTCCAATGTCACTGAAATAAGCCTTGTTTAAAATGAAATCAGAGTGTCATCTCAGCCTCATATTCTGGTTTAACTAAATCAGTTTAAAATAACATCTTTAGTTTAAACCAGTGCCACTGTGTGTGCACACAAACTCTTAGATGAAACAGATTGGATTCATGTCTGACTTGCCCTGACTCAGCTATTCTTTCCTCATACTTGTGTGAAATCAGAGCCATGCCCAGTAAGGGCAGAATAATTGGGCTTCCTGGTACAACGAGCCATTGATTGGATCACCTGGATTTGTTTCTTTACTTTCAGCATTTCATTGACATATACAATGTTACAGGGTGTGGTGGATCTGGTATACTAACTCCCAGACAGTGAACCAAATTTATCCTGGGTGTTGCACCATTGAATTGAGTTATAGCAACAATGAATTTACCCAAATATCTCCATATTGTGGATATTTCACATACTTGTCCAGAGGGAGATGTGGGAGAAAAAATGGAGATGATTTAAAGTGCCTTGCCCTGTGAAGAAAATTTTAGCAAGAGTGGTGAGAAGCATGAAGCAGTAACAAAGTTGCTGACAGTTAGAGATTCTGGCCTACTTCATGGTGCAGATTGCTTATAAAATCCAGATTGAGTCTATGCCTGACCAAGCAACCCAGACCCAATATGTGTGAAATGTGCCTTAACAAAATAAGGCCTAAACAAATAGTAATGAGAAGAGTGCATCTCTGATACATTTTTCCTTCTTAGGCCCTGATACTGAGGGATGCTGAGCACCAGGAATTTGCATTGAAATCAGTGAGGCTTTTAGGATTTGTACTCAGATTAATAAACTGACAGTATGACAAAATAAGAACCATATTTTAGCAACAATAAGGCACTTAAGAGTCTGAATTCAGAGTACTTGAACAGATCACTAACATCTTGAGTGCAAAAATGTTACATTGTGCCTGGCTCTGAGAGTCTTTAGGAAGAAATGCCTGAAAGTAGGCACATAAAGTGTGTGTTTAGAACATTTGAAGCAAATAGGTTGGCATATTTGGTTTCTCTTTTTGTTGTTTAAAAGTAGATAATTCTCAGGCAGAGGAAATAGACTGGTAAAAATTCAAACACAACCAGACGTAGGTTTGAACATGGTGAATCAAAATGTGTGACATTAGAATCCTCACTGTGTTCAGGATTTTCTTTGCTCATTTCCTGCTGCCATAAATACAACATGCAAAGGCATTGGCTATAGGACTCAAAAGTATTATTTTATAGATTGCTGGAATCTCAGTCCTGGAAATGGAGCTGTTCTAAACTATTAACCGCAAAATGCTTAATACAACATTACATACAAACCAGCTAATAACATTATGATTTAAATGAAATTTTACATGCACAACATGCATGAAATTCAAATTCTATGTATCTTGAGACTTTAAATATACAACACTCAAGGATTTTAAAATAATGGTACCCACAACAGTTATAGCACAGCCCCCTTGTACACATGTAGTTTTTTCTATTAATATTGTGTATATAGATGGTATTAACTTTAATGCCCTAATACATGGTTTATAACAATAATCGAGACAATAGTTTTCACTTCTATACTATCTTTCATCTGAGAATTTCACAGTACTGATGGACACTAGATATTTAAGTCTTGCAACACCCTTCTGATGTAGGTATTCTTCTCTATTTTACAGAAGGGGGAGGGAAGAAAGAGAAGCCAAGCCCCAGAGAGATGAAGTGACTTTTTCCAAGTCACAGAACAGGGAACAGAACTCAGATCTTTTGTCACCTGGTCCATGTCTCAACCACTAGACCATGCGTTCTCCCATATGAATGTATATGTCCAAGCTGTGGTTACTGTAGGAAGCATTCGTTGACTGTTGGGAATTTAAAAGCCCTGAGATGTATTGCATTAACACATCTCTTTGCATCTCAATTCCTTGTTTCTTTTGTAAAATAAAAAAACAGGTTGTCTCACATTCAGAATAAACATGCTTCTTTGGATGGAGAGTGTCAGTGCTTTTAGCATCACCTCTTCTTCCTTTTATACCTCTCCTTGCTAGTTTGGCCCAGTAGGGGCAGGCCAGGCAATTGGCTTTTTACAAAAGAGAAATTTCTTTCTAAGAAAGTTTTAAAATAGTTTAATAAAATTATGCAGAAAATGTACCTGTCCTACAGCTGCTTTGTATGTGGAGAGTACCTGATTATGTGTCCTGACATATTTAGCAGCTTCTTCCTCGTATTCTCAAAAGCTGCTAACCCCAAGGCCTGATATTGTTCCCATTTGCACTGGTTTTTCCCTTGGTGTAACTCCACTGAGATCAGTGGAGTTACTTCTGATTTACACTGGTATAAGCGAGAAGTCTTAGGTCTAAGGACATTCAGGAGCTGGACACTGGAGTTGATGAGAAAGAGAATAGGAATAAAAGGAATGATTAAAGATTCAAGACATTCCATATTCAATACACTCATCTCATCTGGCAACCATGGAAACCCAAACCCTTTCCTCGATCCCTTCTAATACTCTCACGGAGGAGCAGCTATTCCAAACTGCCTAGCACTGTAATCCTTGTTCTCAAATGTTCACTTTGCCTTGTAAATTGCACCTCTTCTTGCCATGTGGCGAGTGGAAAACAATTGCTTTGGAGACTTCCAGTCCTGAGAGAGCAAATCCATTTCCTTATTAACCACATTCAAATGAACAACTGATTTTTCTCAGGATAGATGAGGGCCTGTGAAAGTACTAAAATGTCCTGAGGGAACATGCCCTTGCACTGCTTATTATAGGCTTTATTATTTTATGAAAAGAGAAAAACAGTGATTGGGAAACTGGAATTAACAGCGTAACCTCCCAGCTCCACAGGATGAGATGCAGCCACCCGCAATGAGACAGGGAGGGGCATTGGCCTTTGAGATGAGGCTACAGGGAAGAACATAATTTTCTTGCCATTGCACACACACCTCCTTGTCCCTCCCAACTTTAAAATATGCCCACTGTTCTGGGGTATCTACCTTAGACACCTGGGGCATGACTTTTCAGAGGTGCTGAGGACTCTCACATCCTCTTAAGGCCTGTTAGTGTTACAGATGCTCAGCATTTCTGCAAATTGTCTAGGGTGTTTCAAGTTGGCTAAAATCAGTGGCCACTTCTGGAAATTTTGGCTCAAATGTCTGCACTTTTTTTGCCATTTCCTTTTCCACACTTGCATTTTTGCCACCCACATTTGTCCACTCCCTCCCTCCCTTGCTCCTATCTTCCTCCATTTTTTTTCTTCCACTCATTCCCTTCCTTTTCCCCCCAACCTCGTGACCTTTAAGATGCCTCTCTTTAACTCCTGTTAACTTTCAGCCTTCATTCCTAGTCCAGGATCAAAGACACCATAATTGATATCACAGGATTCCTTTGGATCTGGCCATTTTTTCTGTTAGGACACTACTCAGCTGTCCCTTTGAAAAATATTATCTGGATCATTGCCACTATCTTACTCTCCCAGCTAAAGATGTGAACTGCGGGTACCCTGGACAAATTTAACTCTTCACTTGTCAGGCAAATATCAGGATCCCATCTCTACTTGTGTAGAAAAGAAGTTCCCTAGGGCAGGAAGGCCTTAGTTAGATTGTGCCAAACTACTGATTGTAAAGTATCTATGGGAGGTTTCTACCTGATGGTCTCCCTCTCAGAC